CAGGGAGCACTACCAGGCAGTTCGCCACCAGACCGCCATCAAGCAGTTCGTCACCAAGTAGTTCTCCTGCAAGGAGTTCGCCACCAAGTAGCTCATCACCAAGGCACGTCACCACCGGGTCAAACAACGAGGTACTTAGCCAAAAAATTTATACATCACAAAAAATGGTACGTGACCAAAAACGGTTACATCAGTTAGTAAGATAGAATACAGTTGCCTAAGCAATCAAACTTTGTATTGAACAGGAAGATTACTTCATGTTACTGACAATACATTTTTCCAATCACTATAACAAGTGTTTTCTTTTTTTTTTCTTTTTTGTTATCAGTGAACAACATGAACATTGGAAAATAGGAAAAGCATCTAATAATGATTCAAGTCCATCAATCAGTTATCATATACTAGAAATGGGCTCATTAAAGATTTCAAAAGCATCCAGAATTCAAAATATGAGTAATTCTATCACTATAATAATGTCTAGGTTCTCACAGTTCCAAGAGTTAGCAAGCTTTTATTGATGTATGATCCTTCTTTTCGTCTCACACCATTGGTTTCAGCTCTGGAGCTCTCAGAACCTGCCAGATCGATGAGGTTCTGCATATACAAGTAAAATAAAAAAAAGCCATAAAAAATCAATAACCACATCTACATAATTGATGTCATCAGAAACAACTATGATTGTTGAACCACAGGCAAAGAAATATAGATCCAAAAGGAGTCTACAATTAGGTAACTAGAAGGGAAGTTTCAGAAATATACCAACTGTGACAAGCTTACTGCTTCTCCTTCGCTGTTTTCACCATATGGACTGCTCTCTATTGTCTGTTGACAAGGTTGTCAAAGAAAAATAAAAAATTGATACCGACAGGGTAGGAATACCAAATGGAAAACATAAAAAAAAAAAAATCATCAGACATGAAGATGAGGAAGTAACATCAAATCTTAATCACCTGAATCATCATATGCTCAAGTATGAACCCACATTACTTATTAACTTTAGGAATCTCATCTTCAGTAGATAACGTTATAGTTAAGAGAAGGCTTAGTGAGTTGAGTTGAGCAGGTAATGTTATACCATGATCAACTTCCAGACAGCCTCAAGTTTATAAAGGTGGAAATTTCATTTAGTCATAATATGGCTTAACGCATTTAGAAAAATGAAGAACTATAGATGAAAATGCCCTATATTTGATCTGCAATTGTCATCCTTGGCTTTCCTTTTCTTTTCTTGTGTACATGGTGATGGGGATCGGTCCAGGCATTATAAGACCTATTTTCATAAGAAGGCCAAGAAACAGGTTCTGATTTGGCATGGGGAAGACTCTCGGGACTTGAACTGATCTGGTCAGGGGTATGTTCGTCATTTTGACCAGTCCCATGTGGGATTGAGCTATAGCATCTTTTCCTCTATCTTAGTAGTGCTTCTCTTTCAATTTTCAGTTTATTTGCATTAGTAGGTAGAAAGTTATTATGTTTCTTGATGCACAAGACAAGGAGTGGCTTTTTTGTAATTATGGTGAACAGTATTCCGGGCCACACAAGTCACTCTATAAATAGATGTATTTTCTTCCTTTTGAAGCAAATGAAGATTTCTTTAGAGCTCTCTTGAAATTTTGTTGTAGCCTGTATGGAGTAATTCTAGGACCCTTGGAGTGATTCCTTGGGATTTCTATCTTTTCTCTTTCTCTACCCTTTCTCCTCTCTCTCTCCCTCTCTCTCTTCCTCTCTCTTTCTGTCTTGTGACAGTTTGTTCCATCCCTACTGCATCACATGGCTAACATGTTTTATTTCGTCCTCAGAACTCAGATAAGTAGATGGAGACCAAAAGATCATAAAAACAAGATGCTTTAGATAATTATTTAAGAACTTTAGGGTAACTAAAAAAGAAATTACTTTTCTAATAGCATATATTTCTAATTATATGAAAAAATTATCACCAAGTACACAAGACTTGTGATTTGGAAGTATAGGGAATCATTAAAAAGACTTAAATGGTTAATTAGAGATATGACTGTTATAATCCAATGGGGAAGGAGGTCAGCAAATGGAGTGGCTGATTATTTTGCAAAACTGGGGGTGCATAAGTCTGAACTTTTTCTGGCTCAGCTGTAATTCTTTTTGGTAAAAGGGCTGCACCTCACACCTCTGTTGGATTGCTTTATGTAATACTCTGTTGTAACACTTCATATTTCTTTAATAAAATTCATTAGTTATAAAAAAAAAGTACACAAGACTTATTCATACATTCCTAATTGGTCACCGAGCACAGCTGCAAGGCCCTCCAGCCAGGGATTAGAAGGATTTAACCAGTCAGACAGTGACCCACAACATCTATGTCATTCCAATATTTATGTACTTGTGCCTAAAAAGAATACAAAAATAGACAGATAAACATAAAAAAACTGCTGAAAGTAAGATGTTAAAAAAAGTTAAAATACCAGTGTAAATATTGTATGGCTTCTGCTGCTGAGTAAATTGAAACTTGTAGACCCAACATGTCTGTGCTCTGTTGTCATGACAAAATTCCTATAATTAATAAATAATAACCAGAAGATGCACAATACCTATATATCATTGATGACCAATCTAGACAGTAATATAGACTTCTGTCCAAATTTAGCGTACAAACTTATTAGTTATACAGCATAACAGGTAAGATCTTTTATTTTAGTTTTCAACACATGGAAATTTATAGACAAAATTAACAGTGAGAAGGAGCTTTAATTCTATATTATTGAAAGGGATCCACCACTGGTGTCCATCACCAAGCCTACTGCTAATCTAAATAGTATTATATAGATTGAGATCCAAATCTTCGATAGATATGGCACTGAACAGAGTGGAATGGAAAAACAAGATTCATGTAGAATTTATCAAAAAAAAAAAAAACAAGATTCAGATCCACATCTTATTGCTCAAGAAGAAGTTTTAACATTTCTTGAGTTTTCAAAACTTAGAAAACTTGATATCAAGCAATTCCTGCATACTTGTGCTATATTTTCTACATATCTCTTAACTGCCAAACTCCTTGGATGGAGTTAAACACCTTTGCCATAAGATTTATGATTTCCTTATTCACTCTTATTTCTTGCATCAGTGACCAACTGTAAAGAAGAGGCAGGGAAAGTAAAATCCAGAATGAAAGATTTGCATGTATGCATGTGTAATATATATAAAGGAACTTGTACACTTTGCATGCCCACAAATATGAACATATAGAAGCACTCATAAACAGAGCAAAAGTTTTACCTTCACCAGCTGCAATAAGGGACAGAGCATGAACAGGGGATAATACAACTTCTTCTTTTATCCCTTCAACATAGGTTCCCTATAACCAGTACAGGTAAAAAATAAACAAAAGCTCTTCCATAAAATCTAGGAAATAATAGTTCATCTAAGTACTATCCTGTTAATTAATATTATTATATAAACCTTCCTTTGTTGTATCAGTTCATGGAACATGTAAGAACATGGTTTCTGATTTTCTCTTTTACTGATTGGTTCAGTAACAAGATGCAAATATATATTAAGGAAAAAATGAGAAAACTATCCATCATGAAAGAAAAGACAAAGTAATGAGAAAAGATAAATCCCTTCAGGTATCAAAAGTACCTAGGGCAGCCCAAAACCAACAAGTACTGTACTGTACAAATATGACCATGATTTTCCATAGTTTTATGATTTTTTGTGGGCTTCCACTTCTACATGGAGCCAAATTTACACTGAAATCAAAGTTTAAAACCTTGTATATATAATATAAAGTAGAATAGCAATGGTAGGACCCTCTGAGAATCTGAACTCTCTCCACTCCCAACCTACATATATACTTTGTGCAATTGAATTGACTAACCTTGGTAACATTTTTTCCTTTAGAAAAGTTGAATTTGTATCATTTTAGTATCAAAAAAGTACAGCAGACCATCACCCCCATACAACTGGTAACATGTATGCTCTGATCAGACCAAACACACAATGTACAGCCACCTCCTACTAGCTCTGCTGGGCTTCAAAAATAATACTAACCAGCCATTACAAAAGTAGAAAAGTTTTGCCTCACAATCAGAAAGTATGACGTCTAAAACTATATTATTGTGCACTTACCTTTTCCAGCACAGGATTTACTCCACATCCCATACCTTCAAAAGGTTTTTTGGATATGTAACAGTACTTAATAATTTTAGGGAGAATGACTGATCAGCCCAGCTAGAATTCTTTAGCCCCACCGTACAGTGGGATGAATCCTGACCGTGGATTGATGCCAAATCCATGGGCAGGATGCGGTTTATAGGGGGGGGGCTACTAGTAGACTAGTAGACTATGGGGAGCTGTAATTTCAGAATTCTGCATTGGGCTGCAGTGTACTTTTCCCATAATTTTATTAATAGAAGAAAAAACCAGCTATACAAGTGGATTACACTTGGTTTACAAAAGACAGCATAGGCTGACAGAAAACAAACTGCGCCTTCACCCAGGTTCACCCCAATATAAGCTATGAGCTTTTTTTCTTTTGAAACAGGTAAGATAATATCTTTCATTGAATAAAAGTGAGAAGGTACAACCATTCCATGTACACAGAGATGATGTACAATGGGAATATACAAAAAGAAAACAATAGTATATGATTAAGAAAACAGGGACCGAGCATCAAAACAATCACTAGGCCAGGCCCCGTGAAAAGGAGTTTGAATGCTTAACCAGGAACATAACAAACCCTTTAACTTGTATTTTACAGTGTCTAAATCAGAATGTTTGTTTTAAAAAATGCACAAGTTTCTTTCTCTCCATACTGCCCAGATGATGGTTGCTAGTAAAACTCCCCAGAGTACCTTCCCTCTTCTACACTTGCACTCTCCAACCTTCAAACAGTGCCAATGCTGAGGCCAGGAAACAGAAATGAACCCCAAAACATTGTAAAGCCAGATTCCAAAGGCTGTAAGAAAAGGTGCAACGGATGAACAGATGGTTTGAGGATTCTACACTATCATTGCATAAAGAGCATAATTGGCTATCAAGCAAAATTCCCCTCACCAGCTAATCTTTTGTTAAATATCTTCAAAGTGACATAGTCCAAACCAAGAAAGTCACCTTCGATGGAATGCAATGGTTCCAAATACTAGACCACAGGTAAGGAACTTCTTGTTGTGCTCCCAGACCATTATGAAAGAATTTGACAGTAAAATGACCATCTTTCTTCCATTTCCACACCCTCTCATCAGCTTCTCTTGGGTTGGGTTTGATGTTTTGTAATAAACCAATAAGCTCCACCAATGGATTTATTTCCCAATCATTTAAGTTCCTTCTGAAAGTCAGTCCACAGACCACCTCATTATTGATCTGATCAAAGCAGTCTCCTACTACAGCATTTTGATTCAGAGCTATTTCACAAAGGGCCAGGAAAAGCTCTTCTAGAGGAATCTCTCCACACCATTTAAGTTCCTTCTCTCTTTTTGGCTGTTATCAGACTAATAGAACTCAAGGGCAGGCCGAATCATAATATGGTATCAGAGCACAACTAAGCAACTCGGATCTGCCCAGATTTCTGTTTTCTACGCACTCAATCTAGGGTTTTCTCTTGATTTCTCTGCCATCGATTGGAGATAAGGGAAAGGGCTGAAAAGGAGTGGTCACCCTCTTCCCTTGGAGGTCTCTATGCCTCTAGTTGTGCTGTTCATGGTCGGTTGCCGTGGTTTCTAAGAAGCCCACCCCTAATCGATGAAGAGAAGAGGGCTGATTCGTGTGGTGCAGTGGGTGTCTTGTGTAGTCTGATTTTCTTTTTGTGTAGTTTGTTTTTCGGGTGATGAGGTAAGAGATTTCAATCCATATTTTTTGTTACGAATCAAATAGGAAATATGTTTCAAATTGTATGATGGGATTTCAGACTGTAGAGTGCTAGGGTTTATGCTGTTTTTTTTTTGTGTGATTCGAAGGAGGAGTGGTGCTCATATAGTGGTGAGATTTCAGGTAGTCGTGGGGTAGGGTTTGTGGTGTAAAGAGTGCAATCTTCAGCAATAACAAGTGCTGAAACCAGTGTGATCAAGTAGTGTGCAGTGTGCCGAATTCAGTAATAACAGAATTCAGCAATGGGAGATAATAGTGATAGCA